CCTACTCGCCACAGCAAGGTGGCCATTTTGAATTTCTTTTCAAATGTTGCCTCACTTTTGGCCTTTTTACCGAGGTCATATTTGATCTTATTAGTTTGCAACCCGATGTACTTTGTTTTCCATCAATTCCAATCCCAACGTGCCAGTACCTCAACGTTGCCCGGTCAGGCAGCGAGGGGCCCTTTTGAGATGCTCTCAGCTCGACGAAGACTGGATTTAGCCACACTCATTTTTTAATGAGTCTGGCGGCTAAATACGGTCTTGAACTCATCAAATAGTTCCAAACAAAATAAAGCGGTTTTGTAGGACTTGATATTTTCCCGTGTGAGAGTTGTTGGGCCTCAACTCGAAAACGCAGCCCCTGAAGTCACCAAAGCCAGGGTTGCATGTACAGAAAATCCGACAAAACTCCAAATAGTGGCTCTTGGCGCCATCTCGTACAGCCACAAACAGAAACTCGAGCTGTCAAATCGATGGAGGAGTTCTGCAGGTCGCAGTGAAGAAGAGGGCTCCCTCCAAACAAGTCTCCAGCTCAAAACAATTTGTTCTTGTTTCACTGCGATGTCATGCAGCAAAAAAAAAAAAAAAAAACTATGCCACTTGTTTCAGAGTTCTTTACGTTTGTTTTTGCTTATATATTTGCTGTAACAAAAAGAGCAGCTGCGTAAAAATTTGGGAAGCGTGTACAAGTGATCAGAGCGATTGAGCTGAAACAACAACAGTCGCGGAGATCACGGCCTGTCCGGATGAGGTGTCGGGAAGGTGAAGGGCTTGTCGTAGCCCATGAGGTGGTTGTAATCCTGAGGGAGGCGGAACATGTCCGGGTTCACCAGCAGCCCCGTGTCGTTGGCGTAGAAGGTGGTGAACATCTTGCTCACCTCCGGTATTCTGACCTGCTTCTGATGAAAAAGCGTCCTTCGCTCAGTTAGGAGGAGGCTGTAGGTCACGGCGGCGTAGGTGTCCCGCTCGGGGTTGTGGTACAGGCGGATGACGTAACCCTTGGTGAACAGGTGCAGGAGCGCGGGAGTGAGGAAGGTGAAGAAGCCAACGATGCCGCAGAAGGCCACTTGCAGGGCCGGGCTCTGCACTCCGAGGCCGCTTTTCAGGAGGATCTGCGGCATGAGACAGAGACTGGCTCCACTGGTGCTATAAGAGAAGAATTTCACCCCTGAAAGCAGACAAACGTCAACAAATCAGCAAGTCGAAAAAGGTGCGGATGAACACCGAAAACTATTTTCAAGTGGTTGAGCTGTCACATATTTCACTTTTTGCCGGGGTGTCGTCACCCCCCCACCCTCTTTTTTTGGTTTTCTTTAAAAGTTAGGACAAATAACGGACCTGTTTTGCCGCTGCTTGTCGCAAAGTTGTGCTAATGCAACTATATCTTCAGCCACAATCTTGACGTCATACGAAACTACAGTTATGTCAACGACTAGATGAGCAAATACGGTCATCCTGTCATCACGTAATGAAGCAACTCACCGCGAACTGCAGTTGCCAAACTGCCTGTGTAAATAAGGTTGCCGTCTTCAGATTGGGCCCCGGTAGAGAGAAAAGACGATGGAGTGTGAGACAGTGCCTGCAAAAAAAAACAAACAAGATTCACTACTCCTATTTATCAACCATCATCCATCCGTTTTTTTAAACACGGCGCGTGTCCTGCTGAGGGCTAGCCGGCTTTTGACGTTGACAAAACTGTTGACACTGCTCTGTCAATCAAAGAAAAACCCACAATGGCCACTGACAAAAGTAATAAAAGTGTGCTGAAAATGTCTTTGACGTGCCAGCATGAGCCACGTCCGACCCTGAGCAGAGCACTAAAGTCAATACCAGGCAAGTCAAATAAATATGGCAAGAATGAGCCCGGCTGCTAATGCGTGCGTTGCTCTACGGAAAGTATGACTCGACTACACTCGCATTGGAAGAACATTGGCTGAAGGTCAACGTCACTCGCAACGATCCTGCTTTGGGGTGGCGTCGATCGCAAAGAAGCCTTGCCTACCCAATGCGCTGGTGGAGGAGCAACTCTGCACATGACGCTGCATTCCAATGTACACAAGAACAGTTCATGCTTTTAAAAACCAATTGAATGGGTTAAGAATGTTTTTATTAATATTGACCAATGTGAAATACTTTAATTGTGATACACTTTTTAGTCTTTTCGCCCAGCCTTATATGTATGTATATAGAGGGGTCAATTTGGAGTGCCCAATCAACCGACCGTGCATGCTTATGGAATGTGGGAGGAAACCGGAGTACCCAGAAAAAAGCCACGCAGGCACGGGGCGAACAAGCAAACACCACACGGGAAGGCCGAGGTCCGGAATTGAACCCGTGACTTCTGCACTGTGAGGCAGATGTGCTAACCAGTCTCCACTGTGATGCCCAAACTCAACAGCAATTGATCAATATATTGGTTGGTATCATCGGAGAAGTCTAAAAGTAAACATGAACAGGAAAATAAATGTGATGCTGGCCTCCCACTCCACACAAAATTCTGGGTCAATAGTCTGTTGCGTTTGTGCTACCTGTTAACTCATAAAAGTTTACAATTTTCTGACTAATCATCAAATCATCTAAGGGTGTGGGACAAAACAACCTCTTGTTGCCGGCGGGTGTCGGCGCATCTTACATCTTAAGTGTTAAGATGGAGCTATGGAGATAGAGCTAAACTGAGAAGTTATTTCTGAAGCAAACGGTTTTGTATGTGTGTGTTTTTTTTTACCATGCGCGACGGCATTAAAGCGAGGCGTGATAACGCGGCCTCGGTTGGACTTCGTTGATTTCAAACGCGTTTGTAGATGGCTAACATTCAGCGATGCTATTGGCACGCGCTTCCTTTCTATTTCTTGATATTGTTCGGTGTCCAAGTGAGTGTTTAAGTTTACCAAGCACCGGTCTAGCGGCGAGTCCATTAGCTATTGCTATTAAGTTCTTGATGTGTGCCTGTCGGTACCTTGGGTTTCAGGAAAAGAGGTGACCTTTTAACAGCATGGAGATGATTTCCCCTCGGCCGGCCAAAACCAGACGCGCCCCAAAGGGCACCGCGTCGCGCGGAAGCAATACACGTGGTATTGATGGAGTTCGAAATCAAACAAACTCGCGCCCTTAATATGCGATAAAGAAAGAGCATTTTGCTTGGCCGAAATGTGGCTTCAGAAGCTCCGAATGCTAACAACTTCCGCCCGCCGTCTTCTTCTACGCCAATTTCTTCTCGTTTGCGACATCGACGCTGACGTCATATTGAGCGTCCGGAGCATAGATGTAGAGCGACTAGAGAAAGCCTCGGCTGGTTGACGACGTGCACGTCGGGGCGCCTTCTTGAAGCGGGAGTCCACCTCTTCCGATCGCTTGTCAACTGCTGTTGGGCTCGGACAAATTAATCAGAACGCGTCGAATTGTGCCTCGGTTGGTTTGTTACAAGCACCAAACGCGCGGCTAATTTTAGAATCGAAGCTTTCCTTCCCACTCGACCGTTTCCAGTCTCGGAACGGAAGTCCCGAGGCACGAAGACGCCGTAGGACGCCGCAGCCAGGCTGAGGCCAGCCTCCCTTCCACGCGCCAAGTCCCAAGTCGAGCCAGCGAGCGACGTTGCCCACCTTCGAAATAAAAGCTACCCATAAAAGCTGCCCAAATCGCGCATGCCGGTCAGGGGATTGCATTGAAAAGGTTACACGATTACTCCTCTGCGGTTAGCACACCACGAGCTCACCCGGGGAGAATGCAAATGGTCTCCGTGGCTCGGAGCATCGATAACTTCTCTTGGCTCTTTTAAAATCGACAGCGGGTGTGTTGCGACATTTTATTCAAGCGCTCTGAGATCATGCTAGTTTAGTAAGCCATGATCTGGCCTTTTGCCTTTCTTTGAAGCAAAGTTTGTAATTCCCCATTGAAGCCACGAGAGGGTGGCACAACGCTACCTTTGTCCAAATTGAAGCTGCATTTCAACTTAGTTCCCTGTCACCAAGATGCCAAAAGATGGAATCTGAGAGCACAAAGACGGCAAAAAGGACAGCAAATATTTTTGATGCGGATAACCGCGGATGGGTAAAAAAAAAGTACCTATATGCGGGTGACAAACCCCAAACATGCGGAGTGTACTGCATTCCAACACATAAGGACCTAAAACATGCCTCCACGTCCACTACTGTCTTGCTAAAGAAGCTGAGGGGAAAGGTCGGGGATTGGCCTGGTTCGGGCCTCCGGTCCGGACCTGTCCCCTATTGAGCAATTCCAGTAGCTCTGTGACGTCGTCATGGAAGTTTTGAAGAGGATTCCGCTAGCAACCTGTGACGCTCTAGGGAAGTCCACCTCCGAAAGGGCGAAGTTAGTCCTGAAGCGCATCCGTCCATTCTCTGTACTTGGTCGGCGTAAATCGCGACCGGTAATCGAGAGAGCCGTTTTCACAGAGCCCGCCCCCCCCCCCCCCC